GATTCTTACTTTCCTTTTGACATTAGCTTTTAGCTAAGCATTCTTACTTTCCTTATGGAATCAGCTTAGAGCTAAGCATTGTTTGTAACACCCCGCGTTTCCGATACCCGGTTTCCGTACTTTCCCTCTCCTCTCCTTTGCATGAATATGTGTTGTATGTGCGAATTTAATTAATTGCTTTTCAATTTGGTATATTTGCTATTTATGTGAATTTATGTGAACTAATGTGCATTATATGTCTACATGAATATTTTGGATTTTATCCTCTATTTGCGCAACTAAAATGTATTTCATGTGTTTAATGTAATTGAGCACGTGAAATTATATGATCTACGTGGATTTAGTTTTAGTAACATAAGAATTTATTTTCTCACACTAGAAAGTTTATATGCTTAATTGATAGTAATTTACCGTCTTTAAATTGGCTAGGATTGTATGTGTTGCATGCATACACTTATTCCATGTGTATTTCCACTTGGCTTTTTATTTAGCATTATTTTTAAAATAACTTAAATGAAATTGCCTAGAAGTCCCTCTAGATTATTTCAAGTTTCTCCTAATTGCAAAAAGACTCCTCTTCATACTTAGTCATTAAGATAGCAAGCATCCAAGACTTTATAAATACCACCCTCTCCTCTTCATTTCCACACACCAAAACATCAGCCAAAATTCCTCTCCCCTCTGTCCTCTCTAACCCACGACAACCCCCTCCTTCAAATAATCCCAAAGGCTTCTCTTGTTCTTCACAAAGAAGCAAGCCCTTCTCCTTCTTCTTTCCCCTCAATAATTCAGCATATACTCATAAAAGGTTTCTCTCATCAATAAACTCCAAGAAAACAGCCCTCCTATAGCTTACAAACTCAGCCCAAAGCATCCCAAGATCATCCATGGCCAAAACTCGAAGACCTCCATGAATCCTTCGATTTCTCCTTCTCTTATCATTGATTTTCTTCAAATGGGTAAGGACCCCTTGGTCTTTACAGAAACTGAATTGCATGTTAAGTTAACCAATGTTTTTATGTTAATCTTATGTGTTTGATTTTGGGTTTTATGATTATAATTTTGAATAGTGGTTCATGGATGTTCTCGCTAAATAGTCTTAATTTTACTGCTCATTAATTTTTAATTATTTTGTTTAGATTACCCAACATAATTATTTTCAAATTTGTTTATTAGATATTTGTGCACATGCAATTATATTTGATGTGGATTATTTGTATAGCACAATACAACAGAATAACAATTAGTTTTATTTTTTCTGGGAAATTACAGTTTTTATATTATAAATATATATTTTTAACGACTCTTACACGAATCCATGGCCTCCTATATTATGTACCTAAAATATTACAAACGCAGCGTGTCCATAAAATCGTATCAATTCTCATTTTATCCATACAAAGTTGTAACAATGTTTTTACGATTTTGTAACTATTTTTTAAATTATTATAACATTTTTTCGAATAGATAAATTATTATAACAATTAAATTTAATCTTTGTGGCATAAATAAATATAAACTTCGAAACAAACTAAGTGCAAAGCTCTGATTCGTTAAAAAAGTGAAATATTCAGCAGGGTTCGATAAGTACAGATAAACAATTGTCTTCAAACAGTTTTGCAAGTAGAATATGTGAAAATTGTTAAAGCTTCTTTTTTATGTAGTGCAGTAGAATATTTCAAGATGATTCTATACCGGAAATAATTATTATTAGGGGGCTAGATTTTTTTTACATACTTATATTTAAGTATTCTTAAGCACCGGTAATGTATGAGAAATTAAAAATAATTTTCAAGATGTCTTCTTGCATTCTTAATCATTTTTTAGGCTAACAATTTTTGCTCTAACCTTCTGCTAGACAAAAAAGAGTGTATATATATTGTGCTTCATATTCGTTTATTCGCGAAAAACAAAATTTATAATAATTTTTAGGTTTTTAAGCTATCACTATAATTTAAATAACTATTTTCATTCGTTTGTGAATGCTACCCCGTGCAACGCACGGGGATAATTACTAGTAGTATATAAAGTTAATAAAATATAGAAAAAATATATAAACAGAGTGGGTAGTGGGTACGGTGCATACATTCAAAACCCGTAATCATTACGGGTACAAAAATGAAAACCCGTACCCGACCCATTAGCTTACAGGGCGGGTTGTTGAAGTTGCTTCCATATGTTTACCCCATCAAACAAATCATTAAAATGTCTAAATTGCATGTGAATTAAAAAAAAAAATATTAAGAAGACAAAAACACCAATCATATTCATTTTGTAATGATTAGTACAAGGGCAATTTCGTCCAAATAATACATAGATTAATAGACTCTAAATACTTGACATCCTTAAACACAAACAAACAAACATATATAAGATGAAATCAATCGACGTCTCTACGGCGACGGTGATGATGACGTCATGCCTCCGACACTAGTAGTACCGCTGCCGCTGCCGCTAGTGCTCGATCCATCTCCATTGTTACGATTTTCCGATTTTCGAAAGTTGAGTACCAAACAGAACTCGTTGTTGTTGTTTCTCCGGTATCCCCAGAGCTCGACCGAGTCACCTTCATGCGCATCGTTCGCCCTAATTATCTTCATCCATTCTTTGTTGATAACCGTGATTTTCACGCTGCTCCACCTCACCAAATGCAGGTTATAGAATTTGCCGTTTTTATCAATCCCCACAAACTCGAGCCCTTTTCTGTCATCGGCATCGACAGCTGTCCTCTCTTCCTCGGTCAGGAACCCCATCAGGTTCGCTTTACAACCGGAGATAAATAACCTGTTTAGGCGGTCCCGCACATCGGATACTTCGAGTTTCTTCTTGTACAAGAAAACCGGTTTACTTCCGTCGTGTGACTCGATTTTTTGAAGCAGCCCTGGAATTTCCTCCAATGGAATAATAACATTATCGCCTTCGTCGTGATTCGGTGATAGTTTCGCCTTCTTCTTTTTGTCGTTCGATGATTTCGCCTTTTTCTTTTCGATATCGGGTTTTTTCGCTAGCTTGTTCTTCTTTCCTCGGCCGCCGGTAGTAGGAGTAGTACTAGTTGTTGAAATATCATGAAGATTAGTTGCAGAAAACTCACCGGAATATTCTTTATTACAGGGCCGGTTTCTTGAAAACCCAAGATGCTCAGGGCGGAAGATTGTATTCAATGTCGGAAGAACACACCTCAACGGCACCGGACAGTAGATATTATTGTCCGAAATATTCTGAATTTGGTCGGAAATACTTTTCTTGGCCTTGGTTTTCCGGTAAAAGTCGTCGGAAAAAGAAGGGATTGATAAACCACTCGCCGGAAGTAGGGGTTCCGGTCGTATTTCCTGATATGATTTCATCGCCGCCGTTGTTAATGTTAATGTAGAGGAAGGCCCTTTTCTTGAGCGGCAAAGTACTGGAAACTTCGCCGGAAAGAGGGTTAATGTTAAAGTTGTGGAAGGCCCTTTTCTTGAACGGCAAAGTTCTGGAAACTTCGCTTGTGTTATCAGGCGGCGGTGCAGCTGCTGCAGAAGCAACCTCGACGGCGGCGGCAGTGGAAGATTCCGGTGGTGTGGGATTAGGAACAGCATCAGAGATTTCGACTCCAAACAACTTCATCTTTGCGCACTCGGGAGAATTATTAATTATGTATGATCGAAAGTGATTTATTTTCAGAGTTTGTGATGAGATTGTAAAGGTGACTTGGAATATATATAAGCATGTAAGTATTGTTGTTCGAAGGTGAAAGGGTATTGTAATTGTACAAGGAAATATTTTATTTCCTTGTTAGAAGCGGACACCAAATCATTATTTAAGGAATTATTTTATGTTGGATTCTATTTTTATTTCCTAATTAGAATCCACTTCATACTAAATCGAATCCAACGATTACATTATATTACATTAAATTATACACTCGGTCCCAATCTTTTAATGTATACAAAATTAATATCTTTTTTATTTTCTAATTCGAATCCACTTCTTCTACTCGGTCCCCATGTTTTAGGATATCACAAATTTTAGAGATTAATTTATGTTAAGTTTCGGTTGATGCAGAATTTGAAAATCCAAATATCAAGTGTTTTTTTTCAAATTATATTTCTCTTTTAATACATTGTTTTTTAAATTATAATTACATATTGGGCAAATTGCTCTCCGCCCCCTCAAAAATGCATTTTTTGCACTTCCTCCCCCCATCAAAATACAAAAACTAGACTGTCCCCCTTCGAAATATACAACTTCGTGCACTTTACCCAATACAAACTTGAGCGAAAATGCACCGAGTTGTATATTTCAAACGAGGAGAATCTAGTATTCGTATTTTGAGGGGGGAAATGCAAAAAGGGCATTTTTTTGGGGGCGAAGCACAATTTCCCCTTATATATTTAAGGGTAAATTACAAACACCCCCCTGAGGTATGATCAAATTACAAAAACACCCCTCTTGTTTGGATAATTACAACCACCCCCTCAACTCCTCAAATTTAGTGGAATCTTCGAGATTATATGGAATATTATCACTTTTCTACCCGTTTTACCCCATTCAAACTCTATATTATGAAGCAAGATGATCATAATATGTGATTTTTAGCTTGTATATATCAATTTGTGGTGCATCGAAAACTGTAGTTTTACACAAAACGAGTACAAACTAGAGCACATTCCACGTAATCTAGATGATTATGTTGAATTTGGCACCATAAGGGTGGAGGTGTAAGAAAAAATCATAGTTGAGGGAGTAGATGTAATTATCCAAACAAGAGGGGGGTTTTGGAATTTACCCTATATTTAATAGTCTTTGTAATTGTTTTTGAAAAAGACTTCGATTTTCTTTTACTACTTATATGTGTCAATTCAATGGTTTTCAATCCAAAAGAAGAGCAAACGTTCGATGTTTACGTTATTAATCGAATTCGTTGATGGTGTTATGTATAATTTTCTTGCAATTTACTCAAGAAAAATGTTCATATTTTCTTGCAATTCCTTTAGCTTTTAATTAATGCCCTCAAGATCATATTCACAATCAAATTATAACAATGACAATATTAACCCTTGAATAACAAATGCAGGTCTTAAAACAAAAAAAACATAACCAGTTAATTTGTTTTAAGCATGTTCATAGCATACAACGACACCTCCCTCTTCATCCGAACATTACAACCGGAAAATTGAGGCAATCGGGGAACGGATTCGATGACATCATGATGAACTCAGCTTTTGCAGCCTAGCTTTTGCGGTATCCAATTGCTCTGCCCGATAATTAACAAAACGTATTCATAATATATTCAAAGAAAACATAACAATAATACGCTTAATAGGACACTTACTCTGTTCAAATACGGTCGCTTTCTGAATGGTTGTTTGAAAAAATATGTTCCCTTTTCTCTGGTAGACAGCCTGCATTATTAAACGGCATCACATCTTAAATTAAACTATGATACGAAAATATCACAGACCGGTTATATTACAATCATCTTCCAAGAAATTCGAAAAAAAATAAAAAGTTCGAGTGTTTGAGTTTCACTTTCGTAGAGACCTCCCTCTTATCGGTTGTGTACAACAGCACATGTATAACTATTTAACACTCAAAACTTATCATATAAAGAGGCACAAACACACACACACACACAGTATAATCTGAAAAATACAATTTTCATCTAATAATCTCTAGATTTTTTCTCAATGCAGCAGGACCTCTTTCATACTCGAATCGAATAATACTAAGGAATTGAAGGGCAGGAGTGTCGATAACTAATCTAAGGGCGCAAAATGCTTTGGATCCTCGTCGATTACTGGAAAAAAAACGAGGTCGAATACCGGTATCGTACTTTAAAGAACAACAAGGCAGGGAAATTGCTCGTATCATGTAGATTGTTTAACAAGTTACAAGTTCAAAATCATGAACTATACTTTCCCTCATGGTTGATTTTACTTACCACTCAATTTCATAAAACAATACAAATAACTTTTATAAAGATTAGTTTTTTTTTTTTTTAACAAGAATCGATTAAAATGGAGAGAGAGAGAGAGAGAGAGAGAGAGAGAGAGAGAGAGAGAGAGAGAGAGAGAGAGAGAGAGAGAGAGAGAAACCCTACCCGAGAAGAAGAAATATTATTGAGCTCTGCAATAGCAACTTCATGGCTTCTCACCTATCGCCTCCACGATTATAACCGGTTAATAATTTCATCAAACACACACACACACTAACTGGGGAGAGAGAAAATAAAATTAGGGCAAAAATAAATACAGAGAGAGAGGAAAAGGAATTGCAGATACCTGGGTGAGAAGATCGGAGGAGGATGCCGAATTCGAAGACATTCTCTCTGTATGTTTCAGCCCCAATCAAATCAAAATAGGGTTTTTACGAGCTCCTTGTTTCTTCTTTATTTTTTTTTTATCTTTTTTTGCTAAATAAACGACGTCGTTTAATTACCCAAAAGCCCACAACTGAAAATTGATGATCTTCTTATTTTAGTTGTTGCTCAACTTCTAAGAAGAAATCAACCCTATCTTTCCCTTTTACTTTTTTTTTAATAATTATTTTTGTTATTATAATTACAAAATAGTATTATAGTGGTAAGTTATGTTTTATCAAAAGGGCTTGAATTGAAAAAAAAAAAAAAATTAAGGACATCTTCATTGGCACTAACAGAGCCAGAATTTTAAGTTCGTGGGAGCAAATGCATTAAAAAAAAAAATAGGAGGAGCCGTTGATGCATACACGGATTATATTATATTTCTATATAAAATAATGGAAATTAGAGAAATGTTGGGGGGCCATGGCCCCCTTAGTCTTATGCTGACTGACTCTGCTACTACTCATCGGTCCCACCTTGTTGGTTTTGAAAAATAATTGGCATTGTAACCGTGTTTTTCTTTTTTTATCATAAAAAAAAATGGAGTAACCATAGTTTGCTAAACCAGAAAATGGAATGGAATATTGTGGTATATTCCGCACACCGGTCGATTTTGCATCGTATATAATACAGAAAACATGAAACATATGAAACACGGAACAAATAGTAGAGCATTTGTTCATCACACACTTCCAAGATTTAACTCTACATTCGTCAAACGAGGACGAATCCTAGGTAGTAATAACACAATTGTTTCTGCTTTCTTCTGCACCCGTGTCGTATTTTTGGATTTAGTGAAGTGGAAATTCGGCTACATGTCAAAGGTACCTCTAATACCGTCTAAGTTTTCTCCAAGAGATACCCTGCCCATCCAAATTCAACAAACGAATATTCAATTATTTTATACTCGAAATATATACAAACGCAGAGATATGACAATTGCTCAATGAATGCTCGTTCGAAAAAAAAAGCATGTACAAGAATTGCTAAATGGAAGATTGCTTAGCTTTGCCTGTAACGAGATAAAAAACATAGAACAAGTGAAAGAATATTGGTTTATACTATCAAATGCTCGATGGAACTTCTAAAGTTGTGATACCTTTTAGGGCAAATTACGGCCACCCCCTTGAGGTAAGATCAAATTACGAAAAAACCTTTATGTTTGGGTAGTTACAACCACCCCCCTTAACTATGTGTTTTCTTACGAAAAACTCCTCACTTAGTAGGTAAATTTGACACCGTAAGGGTGGACGTGTAAGACAATACATAGTTGAGGGGGTGGTTGTAATTACCCAAACAAGAGGGGAGTTTTCGTAATTTGGCCTTACTTTTGGGGTTGGGCCGTAATTTGATTAGCCAGAGAATTTCGTGAAAACTCATTAGTACCATAATCTATTATTGCTAATAGGCATATCATACTTTGCATAAAAAAAAAACAGAATCGTTTAAGACAACCAACGAGCTTTAAGTACTATAAAACCTAATATACGGACAACTACAAACACCGATAAAAGTTAGCATATCATCAAATAGCAAACCAATACAACTTACTAAGTACAATTAGCAGAAGTTTCGTACCAAGAGACAAAATTCCAGCATAAATTACATAGACAAGGACATCATACGTTAGCATATTTCCACGAGGATCGAGTACTAGAATACGAAACAAACAACTTACTTGTGCATGCAGTACTTGTACTCTGAACTCCTAGTGAAATCCTTTTCCCCTTCTTCCAACTATAAAATTTCAAGAATCCACAAAACTCATTGATACTTCAAAACATACGATAAACCAAATTAATATTATAAACGGGTTAAATTTTCTCACCGGATCGCTTTCGTAGATGAGCTCGTAACAAATCGGGGACAGGCATCGCAAAGCGCAATTCTCCGTAGCTACTTTTGAAGATTGGCATTGTTCACCCCACATTCCACTTTAAACAACAATTGCAACAATTCCCAGTTAATTCAAAATTGAGATAATACGCAAAAATCAAAAAAACCCCAATTGTGGTGATGATCAAAACTATAACAGCAACGACGAAACCCTAGAAATAAAATCTAGGATAATTGCGAAAGTGAGTACCTCTGTATGTCTGAATAGCACTCGTTTTTCTTCTCTCGAATCTCCGTATCCTGTTGAAAGGGGATTTTCATCAATTCTTTTGTAAATTCACAAAAGCTAACATCTTTTTTTTTTTTTTGGAAAAAAAAAAAGGGAAAATTACTACTTACCGTGATTGGGACTCGAGACTTCGCCTGAATTTCAGTAGAACAGAGTAAAAAGACAACCAAAATTACTACCAGGAATTTTTCCCCACAATTTGCGAAGAAAACCATCTTGATTTTGAATTTCAGATTTATGTACAAAGACAACGTTTTTTTGTGTGTGTAGTTCGTTTTCCTCAACTAAACGACGTAGTATTATAGTATATCGAGTACAGACGCATCTATTTTTTTTTTTTTTTTTTTTTTAATTTTCGATTTTGACTTTTGATCTGATTAAACAATAGTCAATAGTACTCCAGTTTTAAATTAACTCTAATTTTTTAGAAAAAAATCTCTTATCTCATACTATTATTTTCTCAATTTTACCTTTATAATTTTACTATTTTTTGGAATAAATATTTATTATTTTAACTAGTTGACATAGAATTAGTGAAAATAAAACTAATAAGATTTTTTTTTTTTTTTTTCTATGCTACATTCGATAAAGTTCACCATTTCTGTAAACTTAATTTACATATCTATATATTATATGATTAATTGTAGAAATGCGGTAATATACGGACCATTATAGTTCGGGAAGCTAGATGCCACATCTATTTATTTATATCAAGTGAATTCGTATCGTATATTTGAATGATTATCCACTAGGCACAGATACACAAGCTAGGGTATGCGTATAGTATGATTAAGTATATATTGACGGTTCAAATTCATCCAGCGTAAATAACCAATTGTAACATCTAATTTCCCTTATATATATATATATATATATATATATATATATATATATATATATATATATATATATATATATATATATATATATATATATATATTTTGAAGAGAGATATCACATATATATATATATATATATAGAGAAATCTTCGTATATATATATGTATGTATACATGACACACACACACTCTATATAGTGAGAGAGTAATATGTATATATATATATATATATATATATATATATACTACAGCGAGAAATAAATAGATATATATATATATATATATATATATATATATATATATATATATATATATATATATATATATATATATATATATATATATATATATATATATATATATATATATATATCAGTCAGTATAACATCTAAAAGACTCTTTCCAATTTCTTCTTTCACTCTTTCTTTGTTCCCTTTTTCTATTCAATATTATTATTTCATAATATTTAGATATTCTTTTTTATTTCCATTATTTAATTAATGATCCAAGTAAATACAATGCACTAATTAAAAGTAATTCAATAATGTAAACAAAACATAATTATAAAAAAAAAAAAAAAACCCTTTGTTTTTCTAATTTATACCAATAATTCATGATGTTGGTATATATATAATAAATAAATTAATTTTTTTTAAAAAAAAAAAAAAAAACCAACCATCCATCTTTTTTTGGAGGCCTTCCATTCTCGAATCTGCATGCCCATCTTCTATTCGTCGTCAATCCTCCCTGTCTGAAACTGGCAACCTCCTTCCACAGGGAAACAAACAAACACAAGAGAGAGAAAGAGAAAAAGAAAGAGAGAGAAAATCAAAACAAAACAATACACCATTCTTCATAATTGCAAACATACCTGCATCTGCATGCAGATTTAATCACCTCCAAAAGGACATACGTACATATCCCATGCACGTATACGTATATAGAGAGAGAAATCAAAATTAAAAAAAAATCGATTGATATAGAGAGAGAGGGAGAGAGCCAGGTGGCCGGCCGAGGACAGGTTTCTAAGGAATATTTGGCAAAGAGATATATATATATATACACACATATATATATATACATGATGATGATGATGATGTGAAAAGTATTGATTAATCATTAATGGAGGCTGAAAAGGTATCAGATATTAGGGTTCCTTTAGTCTTTTCCATATTCTGCCTATGCCTCGTCACAGGCGGCGTATTCCTCGTTTTCTACGTCTTCGTCCCGAAGCTTTCGCAGCCGTGGTACCCTATTGTAGCCCTCGTACTCATCGGTTCGCCGTGGATATTTTGGTTCTTCACGTATTTCTACACGTGCGTCAAGGGGTGCTTCGGCCGTGGGGGCGGCCCCCCCATCGCCGCCGACCACCAGATATCCAGGCGCCAAACCACTAGGAACACCTCCTCTAGGGAACCCGAGATGCCATTAGCCTACTCCGCCTAATTCATTCATTTAAGGATAATATTATTTTTGATTCATTATTTTATTAGACAGGTTAGTTTTTTTGTTTTTTGTTTTTTGTTTTTTATATTTTTTTTATTTTACATCAAAAAAACTTCAGCATGGATTGGTGATTGTATTGTCTCTGTCAGGTTCGAATTATAAAGGATTTAATTTCTTCCAAAAGTTTCTCATAAATTAGGTGCTGCAGTGATTCTTGATATACATATATACAAATATATATATTTGCGTGTATATATATATATATATATATTATGTATGATATATATATTATTGGGTGCACCAAGAAATTAAAGTGTACAACTATTTTCACAATGGAACCCCTAAACAGAAATGGCTATCCTGTGACTGTAAAACATTGCAAATAATATAATTTTATTATCTTGCAGTTAGAGATTAGTTGTGTCATGCAATTACCATTAACAATCAAGCCACTTACTTCCATACAAGAATTACTATTATTAATTATTACACACACAAAAAAATATAAATATATAGTGAAAGAAATCAAGAATTGCAGCAAAAACAATCTTCAAAAACCAAATGGATTCAGATAGCTATCTGCCCTCAAAAAGGTACAATACATTAATTACTACTACTACTACTTACTTTCTATCTACTTCTTTTTCTGATATGTTAATTTCTTTTTCCTCTTACAAAAAAAAAAAGATTATTAGGAAAAGTTGCGGTGATAACGGGCGGAGCAAGGGGGATCGGAGCAGCCACGGCCAAAGCCTTCGCCCAAAACGGGGCCCACGTCGTAATCGCCGACATCCTCGACGAGCCCGGCTCGAGGCTCGCCGACATCATCAACGGCCGATACACGCACTGCGACGTATCTATCGAGGGCGACGTGGAACGAGCGATCCAGCTGGCGCTCGACTGGAAGGGCCGCCTCGACATCATGTTCAACAACGCCGGGGTGGCGGGCCCCGACGGCAGCATCACCAACCTCGAGATCGGACGGCTCACGTCGCTCCTCGCCGTGAACCTCCACGGGGTTGTGCACGGGATAAAACACGCCGCACGCGCCATGATAGACAAGAAAACTGCAGGGTCCATCATATGCTCGTCCAGCTCAGCGGCCATTATGGGAGGGCTGGCCTCGCACGCATACACCATGTCCAAGGAGGCTATCCTGGGACTCGCTAGAACGACCGCCTGTGAGCTAGGGGAGCACGGGATACGAGTGAACTGTGTGTCACCGCACGGGGTGGCATCGGAGATGCTAGTGGGGGCCTACAAAAGATTCCTTGGCAATCCGGATCTGAAAACGGAAGATGTTAGCAAGATGGTCAGTGAGACAGGGAGTCTTCTTAAGGGGAGGGGCCCCACTGTGGAGGATGTTGCTCAAGGGGTGCTGTTTTTGGCGAGCGATGAATCGGGGTTTATTACGGGCCATAATCTGGTTATAGATGGGGGCTTCACTGCTGCTAGCAATCAAATGAGTTTCATATACCAGGGCTAGATATACAAATATATATATATATATATATACACACACACACACACAGACAGACACACACATATATAAACATAACTTGAGCAAATGGAATATAAAGCATCTAAAGCTCTTAGCTCATTAGAATAATATCAGTAACAAAGATGCAATTCAAAAATCGAGAAATTCGTGCATTTTCTACGAGGAAAATGTTAAGAGAAGCCCACTTAACATCGACTTGTCACAACCACCACTCACTTTGTGGTATTTGGTCAAAACAACCGATACGCATAAGAAGAAGTAAACACAGTAATGTACGTCTGACTGAAAGATCGTACATACAAGAAGATGTTCGTTTCCATTTTATATTTCTTTTTTCTCTTTTCAGAAATCTATATTCACAGTTTTACTATATAGAGGAATTAGAAACCTCAATCTTGATCCCCCCTCCACCAAACTAACATCGAAGCGCAGCAGCAATCGTAGTTCCTTCTGGTCGAAACGGTTCCGAGCTCTTCCCTCTTCGTTTCAATCTGCTGCTCTGTTGCAACGGCTCCGAGCTCTTCCCTCCTCGTTTCAATCTGCTGCTCTGTTGCAACGGCTCCGAGCTCTTCCCTCCTCGTTTCAATCTGCTGCTCTGTTGCAACGGCTCCGAGCTCTTCCCTCCTCGTTTCAATCTGCTGCTCTGTTGCAACGGCTCCGAGCTCTTCCCTCTTCGTTTCAATCTGTTGCTCTGCTACAACGACTCCGAGCTCTTCCCTCTCCGTTTCAATCTGCTGCTCTGCTACAACGACTCTCGCACCTCTCAAGTAAGGATGCTGAAGTGCTTCATCTGCAGTAATTCTCTTATGCGGATATATGCACAGCATTCTCTGCAAATAAATTGAACACTTCAATCAAAAAATATTCGACTAATAACGCTTCGTAATATTGCAATTTTGAACGGATAAAACTTACTGAGAGAAGATCGAGTCCTTCTGGTTCAAGGCCCGGGACAACAGATGCAAGGTCCTTGGTTGCTTCCGCGGGGAACTGTTTGCAAAAGGTAAGCTTATAGAGTAGTAGCGGGGGAAACGGAATAAAATTATTTTAAGAAAATAATTAATTACCGGGTCATCTCCAAAGAAATTGAACATATATGATTCCACTCCCTCCCATTCACTTTCATCCGGCAAACCAAATATGCTGCAAAACAGAAAAAAAAATTAAAAAAAAAAAATATATATATATATATATATATATATATATATATATATATATATATATATATATATATATATATCTCAGCAATAATCGTTTTCTAGAGACGTGCCAGAGTTTCACACGAATAAATTTATAACCTGATTATCTCCTTCACTACATCTTTATCAGTAAGCACACTAAATAAAGGCTTTCTTTTCACCATCTCAGCAAAAATACAACCCACAGCCCATATGTCAACTGTATTAGAATACGGGGCGGCAATCAGGAGTTCAGGTGCTCTGTATTGACGTGTTCCCGCCTATTGCACAAGAAGATGCAAATGTTATAATATCTGAATCTTTTTCAAATAATATTTTAGTTTCTTCAAAACTAGTTTTACTTATGTAACTGAAAAAAAAAAATCATAAGGTTTGATGTAATGTTACTAATGTTTTTAGAAACGAATTGTTCAATCTGAACCATCTTCTTGTTTCTCCCGAAAATCAGAGTTTCATGTAAAAACGTTTGAACGGAAAATATTCAACGTAATTGGTAAGAAGAATTTTTTAATTGAAAGATGGGTAATGGTGTTGTTAACATACTAACCTTGGTATAGGAATCTATAAGAGGAACATCAATTATCCTGGAGGATCCAAAATCGGCAAGTTTTACTATTGTCATTCCGTTATCTAAGAGCACATTAGGAGGTTTCAAATCCCGGTGTATAACATTCTGCGAGTGACAATACGAGACACCTTCAAGTATCTGGAACAGAATATTCTGCAAGAAACAGAAACAACCCGTATATCTAAGAAACAGAATATTCTACATATACGAAGACTCATTTACTAATTTGTGAAATTTATAGTTTTAACAATTTTAAATCAATAGCTGTTCGTTGCCAATTCAAAATCAGCAGAAAGATATTACCCACTTTTATATGACCGAAAATATTCCCTTTAAACTGTGAATAAATGGCGTTGGCAAGGTTAATCTCCATGTACTCGAAAATAAGATTGGCATTATCTTGTTCTTCCACCACATCTAATAACCTGCTCGAAGAAATCCAAGTCAGAAAAAAAAATATTCATGCTTATTAATCCATCTCCAATTATCAATCATGTCGAGTTGGATAGCAATAGTAACTGATAAAATATAATAAATCGGTTACATATTAAATACGAGCAATATTAAAACACTTGAAAGATCGGGTATGGATAAGTTTCATCAAATACCTGACGATATTATTATGATTCAACTGCTTCAAGATAGCGATTTCCTTTGACACTATGCCCGGTAGACCTTTGCGTGAATCAAATTTGATGCACTTCACAGCGACCGTCGAATCAGTTTGGTCATCACTGCACATAAAAACCTTTCCAGACGATCCTGCTCCGATCGGTCCAACCACGCTATACTGAAAGATCAACGAGACTATTAGAACTTGCAAGTCAGGAAAAAGATATAACGCCCATGAATATTTCGAAAAAGAGATATACTGACCCTTTCCATTTCGAAAATCTGTTACGACAGAATAGACAAATATAGCTCCTGCACACGAAAATTTTAAAACAGGATCAATCGCACAAAAATGGAAAAGAAAATATCCTCGACTATCTTAATTATTGGAGAAAGATCGAAAACTATATCAATGAGAACGAGTATATGCTGCACGAAAAAATTCCAAACATTCATGATAACCTTTTCGAATTCAAGTTCTCCCGTATCTCATAAACAGTCAATTTACATGGAATCAACATACCAGCTGTCGATTTCATGATCTTCCGAGATTTACAACAATCACATTTACTTGAGAAATTTACCTGATCTCTCCGAATTAGGTGCAGAACAAAATTACTGTGCATAAGCGTATTAATTTCAAACCCAAGTAAGAACAATTACGAAAAATTACGATTACGAACAATTATAAAGAAAAAATCACAGGAACAATTACGATTGCATGTACGACTGATGAGAACGACCTCTGATTTCTAAAAATCTCACAAAGAACAGTTGAATAATCAATCAACCAAGAAAAAAACTCACAGTATGAGGAGATGGTGATTTGCGATTTTCTTCTCTTGAGAAAATTTTCGTTCGGGGATCTCTACAGAAAGTGGAACTAAATGGAGGGAAAATCTGTTTTATGAAAAAACGATATTCGCAACGAGTTTGTTGGAGAATAAGGGCCAATTATAGACGGACGCGTGGCGAGAATCCGCAGCACTTTTCTTTTCAGTTACAAATGAAAGGAAAAATAGGGAGAATTGCATTTTTCGCCCCTGCAGTTTACTACAACTCCACTTTTCGCCCCCCATAATCTGACGTTGAACAAATATCACCCTCAATTTACTATTTCACGGCATATTGGGTCCACGCCGTTTGTGAAGCGTTAGCCACTAACGGGAAAATGAACACGTGAACCGCACGTGACCAAATTGGGGCTAAAAAAAATTAGAGCAAAACCCCAATCACACTCGAAACTACGTCGTTTATCTTTGATACCCTAATAACAGGCAAATGCCCACCGCCGCGTCGCCGCCGAGGCGCTCCTCCAGACTCCTCACCTCTCCGGCGAAGACCAATAGGCAGGTAAACTTCCATGTTTTTCAGCACAGATTCCATCTCAGCTTCATCAAAGCTTTCTTCGTTTCCTAGGATTCTAGTGCTCATTTGGCGGCGGAAGGTAGATGGCGAGTGCCGACGCTGGTGGGGAGACTATTGGTTTGGCTGCGACGGAATTTTTGGCTGGCTCAGCTGCATTCACGGCGGAGATGTGGCGGCGGGCGGCAGCGGGAGTTGGGGTGCAGGAGAATGAGGGGGAATGAGCCAATGAGGGCGGAATATTCTTTTTTTTTTTACTGGATATATATCTAATAATAACTATTTATAGTAGTTGAATCATAGTAATAAAATTTTCAAAGGTTTGTGGTAATCAAATACATTATGTTCATAAGTGAGCATCAAAATAAAACATCTAAAGCTTAGCAAACTCAATAAGCATGTTAATAAGCATTTTTTGCACCCGTAAGAACTCAGTAACAACCGATACGCGTAGTAAGAACGTAACACGGTACCGTACGTACGCCTGACTAAAAGATCGTACACACACATATATGTATATAAACATGAATGTCAAAATCTTATATACAATAAACAATAACTTGAGAAAATGCAATATAAAGCATCTTAGCTCATTAGAATAATATCAGTAACAAAGATGCAATTGAAAAATCGAGAAATATCACAACCACCACTCACTTTGTGGTATTAGGTCAAAACAACCGATACGTGTACGAAGAAGTAAACATACGTATGACTAAAAGATCATATTACAAGAAGATGTTCGCTTCCGTTTTATATGTTTTTTTTCTCTTTTGAAAAATCGATATTCACAGTTTTACTATATAGAGAGGAATTAGAAACCTCGATCAATCTTGATCCCTCATCCAAAAAAACATGGAAGTACAGCAGCAATCGCAGTTCCTTGTGGTCGAAACGGTTCCAAGCTTCTGCTTTGCTACAGCGGCTCTCACACCTCTCAAGTAAGGATGCTGAAGTGCTTCATCAGCAGTAATTCTCTTATGTGGATATAAGCACAGCATTTTCTGCAAATAAATTAAACACTTCAATCAAAACACACACTTCATAATGTTGCAATTTTGAACAAATTAATAAACTTACTGAGAGAAGGTCAAGTCCTTGTGGTTCAAGGCTAGGGACAAGATCTGCAAGTTTCTTGGAGGCTCTTCTAGGACACTGTTTGCAACATGAGATAGAGGTAAGCATATAATAAACTAGTCGAGTCGAAATTAAAATATAATTATTTCAAGAAAATAATTTATAACCTGACTTTCTCCAAAAAGCCAGACCATATATAAGGACACTCCCCGCCATTCCCTTTCTTTCGGATAACCAAATATTCTGCAAAACAGGAAAAAAAATAATAATAATAAATTCAGCAATAATCGTTTTTTTGGAGACGTGCCAGAGTTTCACTCGACTAAATTTATAACCTGATTATCTCCCTCATTACAGCTTTAGCGTTGAGAAATCCAAAGAGAGGCCTTCTCCTCACCATCTCAGCGAAAATACAACCCACAGCCCATATGTCGACAGCATTAGAATACGGGGCGGCCATCAGGAGTTCGGGTGCTTTGTATTGAAGAGTTCCTGCCTATGACACAGAAGAAATATGCCAATGGTTATAATATCTTAATCCTTTTAAATAACATTTTATACTTATGCTACTGATGGTGTTGTTAACATACCGTGGTAGGGGTATATATAAGAGAAACATCACTTTTGATGGCGGCTCCAAAATCGGCAAGTTTTACTATTGTGTTTTCGCTATCTATGAGCAAGTTCATAGGTTTCACATCTCGGTGTATAACTTTTTGTGAGTGACAATGCGAGACACCTTCGAGTATCTGGAACAGAATACTCTGCAAGAAACAGAAAACAACCGGATAAATCACGTTTTATGCTACTCGTAAAACATCTACAAATGCCTAAAACATGCAGCCGTATTTCCAGAATATTTAGATATCGACATCACCTACAAGCAAAACGGAGACTCATTTACAGAACATTTATTTATGTAATACATCTCTCATGGTCGACGAATCGTAAATTGACAATTCAAAACCAGCAGAAAGATATTACCCACTTTTATATGACGGGAAAAATCCAATTCCACCGGTGAGTAAATGGCGTTGGAAAGGTTACGTTCCATGTACTCGAAAACAAGATTGGCACCACCTTTTTGCTCCACCACATCCAATAACCTGCTCGACAAATTCCAATTCAGATTTTCTCCCAACATAAAAGATTAATGAATCGGAAATACCTGACAATATTGTCGTGATTCAACTGATTCAACTTCTTCAAGACAGCAATTTCCCTCAACACTAGTTGACCTTCACCTGAGGAAGCAAATGGAATCCACTTCACAGCGACGACTGAATCAGTTACGTCGTCTTTGCACATAAAAACCTTTCCCGATGCTCCTTTTCCAATTGGTCCTATCATACTATACTGAAGATCAAATAGAATATTAGAAAACAATATAATATAAAAAAAATGCTAGGTATTAAAAGAGATGTACTGACCCTTTCCATTTCGAAAATCTGCTACAACACTATTATACTGAAGATCAACTAGAATATTCCGGATGCTTCCTGCACACGAAAATTTAATAACAGATCGGATCGCTCGCACAATAAATGGAAAAGAAAATCTCCTCGACTGTTGAAAGATTGAAAACTACCGACACTGGAAATGAGTATACGTTGCGAAAACAATTTCAAACTGTCCGTAAACAGTCAATTACAGGGAATCAACATCCCAAACTGTTGATTTCATGATTTACTCGAGAAATCGCATGAACTAAACCCTAACCCAATTAACTCCATTTCCAAGATTTACAACAACAATTTTTACTCGAGAAATTACATGAACTAAACACAACGTAATTTGGCGATGAAAATTAGTGCCAAACACCAATTATAAGAGAGATCGAGCACAATAATCCCCAAATAATTTCTGATTTGTTTGAATTAGGTGCAGAACAAAATGGTTTTGCATAATCATAATAATTTCAAAAACACCCAAATAACTGAAAAATTTGTAAAAGAAAAATTCACACAAACAGATCAGATATTCATGAACTGATCGAGTAAGCCATGAACTGATAAGAACAACCTTCAATTTCTGTAAAGCCCAGAAAGAAGAGAGTATATCCACGAAACTTTCCTCCTTCGCGAATCGCATAAACTCAAAAAAAAAAAAAAAAAAAAAAAAAAAAAAAAAAAAATCTAATATAACAATTTCTCAGAGTTCGAACATCAATTACCTGAAGACGGTGATTTGCGATTCTCTTCTCTTCGGAAAACCGTTGAATAATCAGCCAAGAAAAAAAACTCACAGTGATTTGAGATTCTCTTCTCTTCGGGAAATGTTCGTACAGAAGAGCGAGCAGGAAACACATGTGAAACTATATGGAGGGAAAATCTGTTTTACGAAAACGATATTGGCAACGGCATCGGCCAATTATAGATCGACACGTGGCACTTTCTTTTAAGTTATTTTTTTTTTAAATTGTAAATGAAAAGAAGAAAAAATACTTTATTGTAAAATTGACTTTTGCCCCAATATTTTATGATTAAAATCCACCTTAGATTTTCCTTTGCAAAAAATATTATAAATTATCGATAAATTAGTTTTGACATAAAAAAAAAAAAATTAGTTACTGAAAAATTTCATAATAATAATTTCAATTGGAAGATTCATTCTATAATGAATTTTAAGTACTTCGATTTCAATTTGAACTAGTTTTTAAGTGTGAAATATATGCACGTAACGGATTGAATGAAAAGAGATTCCGTTCAATAATAGTAAAACGGAGGAGATTTTACATAATAAAATAAAAATAATTATGGTTCACTGTTAGATTTTCTTCATATGGACAGTTAAATGTGTAGTTTACCTTAAATTAAAACCTCATTTAAGCATCAACAATTTTGCATTCATACTAACACACGCACGTAACCGATTAAAGCTTGTATTAGAAAAGAGTTGATAACAAGCCTTAATACGTTACGTATTTGTCTTAAATTTTAATATAAGTGACATAATTCGTGGAGGAAAAAATGCCGTTTCAAAATAGTTTGATAATTGAGTATCAAATAATGCATCTGGAAAACTATTGACTATACAAATTTGGGCTTCTTTTTTCGGGCTTTACGTACAATTAGTCTTATTTATTTCGACGATGTCCATATGGACGAGATAGTCCATATCATCACTCAATGCAATTATTTTTCTTTCTTAAAATTCAAACACAGTTAAAATTTACAAATAGTAAAGTAAGCTTGTATTGAAATTATGAGGTTTGCTTTTAAATGTACTTCATAATTGTAAAATGTAAAAAAGAAAAAAAAAATGTAATGCTCACTGAGGTATAATAGATAAGCATCCCACATCGGAAAAATACACAATTATGAACTTAGAGCCTGAGAAATAAATAGAAGCACGCAATCATTTCTTATGCTCACGCAGCTGCGCAGTGAGCACATAGCGAACTATTCTTTCGCCTTTTACTAAAGAATACCGTGTGCTCGCTCCAATACAAGCAGCATATGTCTCTTTTTAGAGGGATATTTTTTTTTTTGTGAATAGCCCCCCCAATATATATATATATATATATATATATATATATATATATATATATATATATATATATATATATATATATATATATATATATATATATATATATATATATATATATTTAATTGGAAAACAATAAGTTAATGAATAATGAAGTGAATTTACAACTTATGATCCATGACTTAAATTTGGGTGCAATACTAAATTTTCTATGCATATATACCCAAAAAAAAGGGGAAAATTGTAAGAGATCGAGCTTCTTCCCAATATCAATATGTTGTGATCATGATAAAAAAAATTGGGTGCAATACTAAATTTTCTATGCATATATACCCAAAAAAAGAGGAAAATTGTAAGAGATCGAGCTTCTTCCCGATATCAATATGTTGTGATCATGAGCAAAATATTGTTTATCGACACGTAGTTCTAGTTTAAATTCGATCAAGGAGGTTAGTCTTGATCTTGAAAAATAAATTGTTTGCTTCATTCAGAAAAGAATATCCTAAAGTAAGTGAAATGCAAATCTTTAACTACTATAATTTCTTCAATTTTGGCTTACGAGATGACACTATAATCAAATTCGATTCGGTCGAGTTCCAAATACGGGTCTAGTTGATTATCAGATTATGGATCATTCAAATTTTTTTTTTTTTTCTTTAATATTTATACAAAATTGTGTGTACATAATTAGATCTCCTTGTAGAAATTGTTAATTGTCTAAGGGAGTAATTCAATTATTAGAAAAGATTGAAAAATGTAAAAGGAAGTGTTTTCACTGTTGTCCCACATTGGAAAAACAAACAATAGAAGGTGAGAAGGGAGTAATATAAATAAAAGAAATTAGAGTGAGAAAAGTACTTACCTGGACGGGGTCAATAGGCGATCAATAAGACCTATGGCCTATGCTGGTGACCTCCATTGCACTTTGGAGGGGTGCCTGCGTAAGGTCGGCCCAAGAGGTCGAGCCTGCGTCATAATTTGTGCCAGAGGGGGCCTGCGTTCGCGCGGCCCCTGCTCAATTCAATTTTTAAATTTTATTCTATTTAATTTAATTCAATTTTTAAATTAAAATAAATATGTGATTTTTCTTTTGGAGTTTTGTCAACCAAAGTTATTCACATACAGCTAAAGTTTTATTGTAATCTTGCATATTCTGGTCCGAATATTTCTCCAAACGTTTGCATTTTCAAATTTTCGAACGGAACTGAAATATTTTACGAGCTTGAGAATTTATAAACATTCATGTGAATTGTAGCATGTATTTCATTAAGAGGTGTAAACGAGTCTTGTATCGAGCTATTAAAAGTTGGTTTTTGAAAAGCAATCGAGTCGAGCTCCAGTTTCAATAGTATATCAAATAAAAATATCTGTTTAAGTTCGGTTTGTTATCTTAACAATCGAATCCAAAGGAAGGTTCATTAGCTTAGTTTGATTTTTAGCTTTATTTTTATGCTAAATTTTTGTTTATGATGCTGACATACTTGCTGACGACATCTACAATATTTTCACGAGACTAGTGGCAAATAAAAATTTCGATTCCTTATCCTCATTTTCAAGGCGGCTGTAAAAGAAAAATAAAAAAAATCATAAAGGTATAGATTATTAATAAAGAGGCTGAATTACAACCGTCTCCTTGAGGTATGGTCTTTACAAAAAAACTCCTCTCGTTTAGATTATTATATCCAACTCCCTCAACTATGTTTTTTTCTTACACCTCCAGCTTTATGGTGTCAAATTCAACATAATTATCTAGATTTCGTGAAATGTACTCTAGTTTGTACTCGTTTTATGTAAAAATACAGTTTCTGATGCACCACAATCTGATCTATACTAGCCGAAAAACACATATTATGATCATCTTGCTTCAAAATGTGAAGTTCGAATGAAATAAAGCAGGTATGAAAGTGATAATATTCTATATAATCTCGAAAATTCTACTAAATTTGAAACCGTGAGGGTGGACGTGTAAAAATATTTATAATTGAGGGATGGTTGTAATTACCCAAACATGAGGGGAGTTTTGTAAATTAACCATACCTCAGACTGGTGTTTGTAATTTACCCTAATAAAAATAAATGCCGGCCTTCATCCCATGTAATTAAAAAAAAAAAAAAAAATGCAGCCCTATCATTGGTCGTCACGTGGACATAATGATTGCAGAGAGAAAATGCCTAAAGAAACAAATAGCATCTACAAATTCAGTGTCAACTGTGAAAAGCAAAAGAATGGCAGAAGAAGAGATGAAGCTGTTTCGGTCATGGTCAAGTCCATTTGGCATGAGGGTGGTACACGCGCTGAAGATCAAAGGTTTACAATATGAAACAATACTGGAAGATCTATCCAACAAGAGTGCTTCACTCCTCAACTACAATCCCATACACAAAAAAATACCCGTTTTCGTTCACAACGGAAACCCGATTTGCGAATCCCTCGTAATTCTCGAATACATCGACGAGACGTGGACGCAATCTCCTCTCTTGCCCCAAGATCCTTACGCCAAATCCACGGCTCGATTCTGGGCTAAATTCGGCGATGACAAGGTATATACATATATATAAAATGGCAAATTACGGCCGCCCTTGGGTTATGATCAAATTACGAAAATACCCCTCTTATTTTTGGTAACTACACCCACCCCTCAACTATGTACTATCTTACGAAAATAGCCCTCCAGAGGTAAGTTTAGGGATGTTAAATAGGTAAAATCGAACTGAAATTTCGGTACGCCAACATTTCATACCGTTTACCAAAGTGAATTGGTTCGGTAAATAACTGAATTACATAAATTTTATGTAAAAATATTTAAAAGGAGGGGTGGCTGTAATTACCCAAACAAGAGGATTTTTTCGTAATTTGGCCATACCTCAGGGGTGGCCGAAATTTGCCCTGTATAAAAAATAAAAATTATTTAACTATTAATTTTGATTTTCGACTAATGATGCATAACAATATAAACTAATGTTTGAGGCAGGTTATGCCATCAATTTGGAGTGTGTTTACATCTCAAGGGGACGCGAGAGAGGAAGCCATCGTGCAAGCGAAAACGAACCTTGAATTCTTGGAAGAGGAGATAAAAGGGAAGAAGTTCTTTGGAGGGGAAGCGATTGGTTATGTTGATCTTGCGTTTGGTTGGATGGCTAATTTGATCGGCATATTGGAGGAGATAATTGACTTGAAATTAGTCGATGCGGAGAAATTTCCGTTTTTGTCGGCGTGGATGAGCAACTTCTACGATGATCCTGCAATAAAAGAATTTTGGCCAAATCGAGACAGAATGGTCGAGAAATTTAAGGCGATGCGTGAATTGCACCTCAATAAAGTTGCGTGAAACCGACCGAACTCCTGGTTCAGTTTGTACGACTAATAATGGTTTCACTTTTGAATGATTTTGTACCTCAATAATGCAATCTTGATAAGTAGATGATACTATGAGATCGTCTAGCAATTCGGTTTATTTCAGGTTTGGTTTTTTAAAACATGTTCGTTTCTCAATGTAAAATTGATGAAGCTTGATTGTCTCGAATAAATTTGTGCGTTGTGACAGTTTCAAAAAGGGGGGAAACGGGTTCCGGTCAGCATGTATTTTTAGGCAAAGATGCGGTGTTTTCGACTTTCAATGCATGTTTTGTTAGCAAAACTGAAGAAAATTTTGAATTCAAGTATGCAATTTTAAATTTCTCTTACACTGTTAGAGATATTTTATGTAATACCTTCATTCAACCGAGTAGGAGTGCAGGCGAAAATCCCTGTAAGATCAAGCACGTGATAATTGGACCTTTGGACGATTCGCCACCATTTCGAGCGGTCACCTTAAATAATAGAAGGCTCAAAGTTAGGTATATCGGTGCCATCATCCGAAAACATAAGAAATCTATAATGTCAAAAACTGTGGGTTCAATTGAGAAAGAGCGAAATCACCTTTACTGTATGTATGATTGGCTTGGCATATATGTCTGGCGATTCTCGAAAGCTTCCTCGCAATCAAGACTTCCAATTGCTCCTGAAGTTATTACATCAAATCAATAACAAAATTAAGAACACGAATTTACCCAATTTTGGGATTAAAATTTTTGATTTTGTTTGAATCTAGAAAGAATACAATCGACATACCCAATTATAATGATTAGTACGGATCCAGTCTTTCTTCCACTGCCAACTGCCAACTTAAGAATTAACCAGTTGCTTCAACTACAAAAGGCTCGTCCAATAAAAAACTTACAAGTGGCGAACGGCGCTATCACCAGTGATCTTTACAGCTACAACTTCCGTCTCTGAACAGATGAAAGCGATTGGAATCTCTTACTAATATTTCACGTTTCATAATTTTCGATATGTACTTTGTGACAGTATGGCAATCCCCACAAACCCGAAGATTCTTCATCACCATTAAAGGAGTACCGGGTTTCGTATTCAACAAGCCAAACGCTATGGCAAGCCTTTCACTGTGCCCACAAAGCATGTCCACCTTCTCATCCTCGCCGACATCATGCAACACAAATCTGACATCAGCGGCATATCCTTCCTTGGCCATCAAACCAGAGAGATCATCCAATAGCTCCACGACTTCTTTGCGTTGCTCAAAGAATCTATCGCCCGCTCCAAAGTAGTACACTTTATTTCGGATCTCGAGCCAACTAATTCCGGGTTCTTTTTTCAGTCCTTTAGCTTTTAAAGAAGTTCTTATCTTTCTAACTCGATCCCATTTTCCTAAAGAAGCGTAGACATTCGAGGCCAAAACATAGTATCCTGGATCGTTCGTATCTAATTCAAGAACATGTTCGGATACACGTTCGGCGATTTTCATGTCTCCACTTGCTCGACAAGCACTGAGTAGAACACCCCATATACTTGCATCGGGTTTTAAAGGCATTGATGTAATGAACTCCTCTGCTTCAGTTAAGAGTCCCGATCGAGACAAAAGATCAACTACGCAAGCATAATGTTCGATCCTAGGTACAATGTTGTAGTCTTTCTTCATTTGCTCAAAGCAAGCTTTCCCTTCTTGCACTAAGCCAGAATGACTACATGCGTATATAACGGCAATAAAGACAATGTGATCGGGAAAAATACCAGCTGCCTTCATATTCTGAAAAGCTATAAGTGCTTTTCGTCCTTCACCGAACATCCCATATGCAGAAATAATCGCTGTCCACGAAACTAAGTCTCTTGTTTTCATTTGCTCAAAAACTAGTATCGAATTCTTTAAGCTCCCGGTATTGGAATACATTTCAATCAGAGCATTCCCGATCGGAACATTGGACTCAAAACCCAATCTTAAAATACAGCCATGCATCTCTTTCCCTTGTCGTTTGGCGATGAGATAAGAACACAAAGGCAACGCACTTAAAAAAGTCGGTACATCTGGCATTATTCCCTCCTTTCTCATCCTGCTAAGCATTGTTAAACCAAGGCTGCTTGTCTTAGAATTACCACAAGAAGCAATTATCGAGTTCCATGTAACTGTATCTCGAACTTTCATGGTCTCGAATTGCTTCAGCGAATCCTCCATTTTGCCACATTTTGCATAGGCGCCGACAAGAGCATTGCCCAAAATCTGAGTCGAGCCGAATCCTTGCTTTATTATATCACAGTGGAGTTCCTCGGTGAAATTTACGTTTGCTAGTTCTGTACAAATGGAAAAAAGTGCCACGTACGTGACAAAATCAGGTTGGAAACTTTTCTTCATCCTCCTCAAGAGATCTATTGCTTCTTGATATAACCCGTTTTCGATATACCCGTTAAGAAGTGAGTTCCACGACACCAAATCATGGTTTCCCATGCTCTCAAACACTTCCCTTGAATGCAACACATCACCACATTTTGCGTACATGTTAATAATAATATTACTAGCTATATTATCACACTTATAACCATTACTAATCATGTAGTTATGGACATATCTTCCCAACTTCAAGTTCCCAACGTAAGTACACGCACGTAGAACCGATGTGATTGTCAAAATATCTGGTTTAAAACTATCCACCATTTCCAAAAACAAGTTGATTGACTCTTCATAGAAACCCGATTCACAATATCCACAAATTATTGTATTCCAAGTAACACTATCTTTGCGAACCATCTCATTAAAAATTCTGTCGCAATTATTTAGCATATCAAACTTAAAATACATTGAGAGCAAACCATTGCTTACAATCACATCCTTATATGCTCCAACCTTCTCCACCAAACCATGAACAATCTGACCCTCTTCAACCTCCCCCAGTCCACCACAAGTCAGTAAAACACTCGAAAACGAGAAAGAATCGGGCATCAAACCGCCAATTCTCAGCTGAGTATAAACCTCCAATGCTTCCTTAAAGTACCCATTGGAAGTATACCCAGAAATCAAACTATTCCAAGAGACAATATCTCTACTAGGCATTTCATCGAACACTTCTCGAGCACGACCCAATTCACTACACCTTGAATACATATCCACGAGCGTATTATTTATGTACACATCAGAATCAAAACCCAACTCCTTAACATGCTCATGAACAACTCTCCCTTTCCCAAGATCCATCAAACTCCCACAAGCATTGATAACCGAAGGAAACGTGTAGCTATCAGGCTTCACTTGCAATTTCCCCATTTCCGCGTAAAATTCCAACGCTTTTGCATACAATTCATTATGGGTCATCGCTCTAATTATCGTATTCCACAGATAAGCATTGTTTGTGAGTGAATTTTCCCGGAAAATCAATAAAGAAGAATTGGGGTCTTTGAATTGGGAGTATTTGGATATTAATTTACCCGACAAAAACAGAGATTTGCTTAAACCAAAAGTGATTAGGAGGGAATGAAGTTTCTGGAGATCTTTCTTGTTGGCCGTTGAAGATAATGCATTAGAGATTGAAGTGTAAATGTCTCTGCTTCTACAGTTCAATTTCATTTGGGAGGGCTGAGGGTTTGAACAAACGGCTCTATTTTTTGAAAATTGGTGTTTAAATAGTTTTGCCATTTAAAAGTTAAAACTTCTCCATAAAACTCTCTCTCTCTTATTATTTTATTTTGGGAAAATTGTAATTGTGGTCCTCTATGTTGGCTAATTTAGGAATTTAGTCCTCTAGATTGTCCTATTTCAAATTTTCATACAACTTTACGAATTTAACATTTTTGGTCCTATTTTGCTTGAAATTTTAATTCTACTCTTCGATAAATTATGTGGCTAACAACCTCATCGTAATTTAGTTATATGAATATTTATAGATTATAAATAGGCATCTAACTTGGTTTACATGTCAAATAACGCGATTACAATTTTTAAAAGTCCGTATAAGCAAAATCCGTAAAATTCGTTTGCCATATGGTAAAATTTGAGTTTAAGCAAGTAAGAGAGGACCAAAAATGCTAATTTTACAAAATTATTGCACGTGAAATTAAAACATGATAACTTAGATGACTAAATCTCTAAATAGACCAACATAGAGGATACCAATAATTTTATATTTTGCATACAAAACAAATGGATCTTCAATCTTCTAAAACTTGATGTAACTTTCCATCGCTTTCTTATACTTTGCATACAAAACAAACGGCTACAAAGTCAACGTCGTCCCCGGGTCAATGATAATGTGACTTTCTCCGCTTGTTTTTGGAATATCACCACCATCGAATCTCAACCGTCGATTTCCGACACTGATTCCATCGAGGGTCAAGAAATAGAAAGTTGAAATGTTCTCTCTAAGTACTAAGGGGGTGGAGACCACCCCTTCATCTGAAACCCTAGCGTTGTCTAAAAAATTCAATTTACTCGAGCTCGACATTTATCGTCTGGAATCGGTAACAAGCAATAAGAGAACTTCCCTTGACCTAATTGCCTAACAAGTGAGGCATTTCCATCTCCAAGACCGATAATTCCCGATTCGCCACCGTCGAATATTCGGGGGGAAATTTCGAATCCACACCCAAATGTATAATAGAGGTAATAAGATGTTTTTCTTAGATCGAAGATTTTGTAAGAAAATTGTATATGGAGTTTTGAATTATCTTAATTGAGATTATACCTTTGACTTGATGGAAATAAATTTTTAATTAATCTAGCATTAATATTAATACTTTTTAATTTAGTTTGTGCATTATCAAAATTGGAAAGCTTTTTACATTATTAAGAAATGAGCGAATGTGGACAAATTGTAGTACAAAGGTTGAAATGTCTGCCTGATTTTGTATTGAACAGTCAACTAAAATATTTCAAGATTATAGGATTATATTAAAATTACAAAAATAATAAAGGATTATATGGAAAATATATTTCTTAGGTGACGTGGTGAAAACATAGTTGAAGGGTAGAAAAAAATAAAATTTTAATACTTTGCACAAAGAAGAGAAATACTTTCGTATGAGGGTATTCATTAAGGGCATTTCAGTATTTCCGTTTTTGCAATAATATTTATTTTTGTCGTGTAAAGTGGCAAAATAAATTGTTTATTCCCTCACCGTTCAATCATTTTCTCACTGAATTACTGGAAAATTATGTTTTATTGTATATAAAAAAAATCAACAGTTTGATATTTTATATCGGGTGGATTTGAACCGTAAATTTGACTTTTTTGGCATACAATTTGGGAAGTCAACCATAATTTTATTCCTTTTTAAATAAATCTTTTTTTTTTTTTGAGAAAGAATTAGAGCTTTTCATTCAAGACATATCAGAAGATACAATATCCAAAACCACATCAGGTAATTCACGAACAAAGTTTGAACTTTTCTTCGACAAAGCCACAATTGCATGGGCTGCTTTATTACCATTTCGCCGAACGTGTTGAGCTCTAAACTTCAGTAAACTTGCTCCCAACCTCTGTATATCTGCTATAATGTTACCATATTCTGCTCGAGAACTCGAGGCATCTTTAATTGCTGATATTACGACTAAGGAATCGCCTTCTAATATTATATTTTCCCAATTGTGGATTTTAGCCATCTCCATTGCCATTAATCCTGATTTAGCCTCCGCCGATGTCGGATCCAAATATTGTTTTATCCTTCTAGATAGCCATCCTAGACATGCGCCCGTACTCGATCGTGCAATCACACCTAGGCTGCATACGCCGTCAACATTATTCACTGCCGCGTCAAAATTTAGTTTCACTTCATCGTGATTAGGGGGTAGCCATCGCCCATCTTCGTTAGTCCTCTGAATTCTTGGGCGCAAAACCTCTATTGTGGCTTCATGTATATCGCTCCACAACTTCTTCGATAAATTTGCAATATCCCCTTCGAAAATTTTCTTGTTTCGAGCATTCCATATTTGCCAACAAAGCAGAACACATTTTTCGACAATAATAGTCTCGGAGTTGGTTCTTATTTCTCCCATCCATTCGTTCATGTCTGTTGTCGTCGTTAAATAACTTGACCGCGGAACATCACTCATAGCCCATATTTGTCGAGATAACGAGCAATAGAACAAACAATGCATAACGTCTTCCCCTCGACTTTCACAAAAAGCGCAGTTATCTTCTTCCGACACTCTCCTTTTCAATAGATTATTTCGAGTAGGTAGCAAATTTTTGCATGCCCTCCAAAGAAAAATCTTGACCTTGTTCGGGATATTTAGATCCCATAACCATTTCCACACCCCCCTTTCACGAGCGAACGAACTATTACCTGGCCTTCCATCCACTTCATAGTTAATTTTAATCGCAAGGTGGTAAGCACTACGAACTGAAAATAACCCACTTCGGTTATAATGCCAAATACACCGATCCTCATTAAATCTGCTTCCAAGAGGTATAGACATTATACTCTTGCTATCTTCTTCGTAGAAACTATCTTTAATTAAATCAAACTTCCATTGGCCACTAACTCCATCAATTAGTTCACTCACCGTCGTTGTGGACGGCCAGTCACCTCTCGGAGTAAATATTTGAAAGGTACTTTCTCTAGGCAGCCATTTGTCACCCCAAATTTTAATAGAACGACCATCTCCAATTCGCCACCGCAGCCCAGCCTCCAAAAGATTTTTCGTGCCCCAAATACTTCTCCATGTATATGATGGGTTCGGTCCCAAGGCTGCTCCAAGAACATTCGAATTTGGAAAATATCTTGCTTTGAAAATTTTGCCCAAAAGACTTTCGGAATTTTCCAATAAACGCCATAGCTGTTTTGCTAGTAATGCCGTATTAAACGTTTCCAAATCCCTAAAATCAAGCCCACCAAAATGTTTACTCATGCAAAGCTTTTTCCATTTTGTCCAGTGAATACCTTTACCATTCGCGTCCTCCCACCAAAATTTTGCTATTTTGTTTTCGAGATCTTTGATGAAAAAATCCGGCAATCTAAAACAGCTCATTGCATACGATGGGATTGCTTGAATTACCGCTTTAATTAGAATTTCTTTACCACCTCTTGATAGCCATTTTTCTTTCCATCCATGAAGACGTGAGCACACTTTATCAAGGATATTGGCGAAAATTTGGCGTTTGGATTTGCCGACAACTGAAGGAAGCCCAAGATATTTCCCGTGTTTGTCCACCACTTCCATTGGAAGAACTAAACGAATCCTCTCCTTCACTGGTTCACTTGTATTCTTGCTAAAAACTATACACGATTTCTCAAAATTCACTTGTTGACCCGATGCCTCTTCGTAGTTTTGCAAGATACTTTTAATACTAATTGCTGAACGCTCATTAGCCTTACAAAATATCATGGTATCGTCAGCAAAAAGAAGGTGTGAGACCTTCGGCAAACCCCTACACACTGCGAGACCTGATAGGAAGCCCTTACTTTCTTCGCGACTGATCATAACGCTCAATGCTTCCGCAACAAAAAGGAAAAGATACGGCGATAATGGGTCTCCCTGTCTAATACCCCGCTCCGGAGTAAGGAACCCAAAAACGCCCCCATTCAGAACGAAAGCATAAGTCACCGTAGTCACGCATAACATAACTTTGTGTAAGAATGACCACTCTATACGGTCATAAGCCTTGCTCATGTCGAGTTTTATTGCCATGTGTTCCCCAGAGCTTCGTTTCATGTAATGTGAAATTTCGTAAGCTATGAGAACATTATCTGATATGAGCCGTGAAGGTACAAAGGCAGACTGAGATTCCGAAATGATTAAGTGCATAAAAGGCTTCAATCGATTAACAATGGTCTTTGACGCGATCTTGTATACCACATTGCTAAGACTGATTGGGCGAAAGTGAGTCATATTTTCCGGATTTGAGCACTTAGGGATAAGAACGATATGCGTAAAGTTTCCCGATGAAGGAAATTCCATATGATTAAGTAACTGCAAAACCCACCTAGTGACGTCCTTACCAACAATGTGCCAATAGCGTTGAAAAAATAACATTTTGTTTTGACTGTTCAAAATAAATACTTGTAATAATATTGCATTAATACAGCATATTACACTAATAATTTTGCTACACTAATAATTTTGCTCTATAAATAATAACTGTCATGTTTTTATCTAAAACCACAAACACCCTCTTACAAAAAAAAAAAAAAAACAACATGATGTTCAAATCAATTTTCATAGCTGAAATGATTTACGCGGCAGCAAAATTACGAATGACGTTCACAATAGTTTTTTCTTTCTCTCTCTAAAAACCCCCAAATCCATCCAAGCCCCAAAAACCCCAAAATTCACAAAAACCCTCAACCTCTCTCACAAATTCTTCCAAATCCGAAAATCTCGTCAATTTGAAAGGTAATTAATCATCTAATGTAGTTATCTATATTGAATTTGTGGTTAATTATGTGAAAATTCCTAGAAAATCGCGATTTTGGGTTGTTTTTAGTGTTGGGTTTTCGAATTTTCCACGCCCAAAATGGGAGTGTGAAAGCAGTTTTCACGCCTAAAACAGGCGTGGAAACTGCTTTCACACGCCCATTTTGGGCGCGGAAAACTGGTTTGGGCGTTCGGTCCGGACGCGGGTTCTGGACCGGTCGTCCGGTTAAATTTTTTTTTTATCCCAATATAAATGAGATTCTATATTATATTTAAATAATTTTTAGTTAACGAACTCTCTCTGGCCTAGTTGGTCAGGCATATTGTTTGTTACGCAATACACCCGTGTTCGAGTCTTACCAGCAGCTTGTATTTATTAATTTTTTGCCAAGTATAAAGAAATCTATAAATACAATTCAATAATAACTTATTATCAAAATGGCTGTGGCTTTGTTGGTCAGGTAAGTCTATGCTTCCAAAGTAAAGTTCCGTGTCGAATCCTTGAGGCAGCCCAAATATATAATTTTTATTTATTAAATCTCAGTCACGAGCGCGCCCAAACCGGGCGTGAATCGGGCTTTCTAGCTCCCAGTTTGGTCGTGGGTCGCGTTTTCACGATTTAAAGAACAAAAACGAACAAATTTTATCTCATTGAATTCCGTATCTCGATCCTCATTCGATGCACTCGTTTTTTTTTGCAAATGGCTACAATAACATGAGTTTTGGAATGATTTCTAATATAAAAGTTAAAATTGTAGAGAGAGAAAGAAAGATAGAGAGTGGATTTTTTAAAACGACATTCGTAATTTTGCTACCGCGAATATCACCTCCCCATATAAAGCCCTAATTATTTCCCTAATTATTTCAATTTCTAAATGTAATCCACTATCAACTAAAGGGTTGACCGAAGACCTAATCCACAGAGACTCTCCTCAATCACCTTACTACAACCCTACTCTATCTCCTTCTCAACGCCTCGCTAACTCGCTGCGAAGATCGTTCGATCGTGTCCGTCGATTCAATTGTTCGAAACCGCCGAGATCGGATGTAATCCTCTCGAACGGAGAGTACCTAATGAAATACTCGATCGGCACACCGGCAATCCCGTCGCTAGCGATCGCCGACACGGGCAGTGACATCATATGGACACAGTGCCAGCCGTGCGCGGAATGCTTCAAGCAAGAACTACCCTTGTTCGATCCGAAAAAATCCCGCACGTACAAAAACATCCCTTGCAATGCCGATAGCTGCAAATCTTTCCGAAGAAGTTCTTGCAGCAATAATACTACGAATAATCATTGTCTTTATTCCGAGGTTTACGGCGACCAATCCTTCACTAATGGCGACCTCGCAACGGACACTATTACATTAGGGTCGAGTGACGGAAAAACGGCGTCGTTTTCGAATATTATATTCGGGTGTGGATTTAGAAACGGCGGCGTGTTCGGAGGGGTGGAATCGGGAATTGTCGGTCTCGGAGGTGGGAAAGTTTCGCTCGTTAGGCAATTAGGTCAAGGGAGATTCTCTTATTGCTTGGTGTCTATGTCGGATAATGAATTGCAAAAATCGAGTAAGTTGAACTTCGGACACAACGCTAGGGTTTCGGGTAACGGGGTGGTCACGACACCGTTGGTCAAGAAAGAACCGGACACGTTCTACTATTTGACTTTGGAAGGAATCAGCGTCGGCGGTCGACGCCTCGAGTTTCTCAACGAGACGTACCGCGCCGACGGGAACATCGTCATCGACTCGGGGACCACGTTGACTTTGTTCCCTGTCCCTTTCTACAACAGATTTGAGGATGCCATAAGGAGTTTTATTAAGTTGAAGGAGATTCAAGATCCACAAGGGGCGTTGACTTTGTGCTACCACTCGGAATGGGACATAAAGAATATTCCTGATGTGACAGTTCACTTCAGAGGGGGTGATGTGAAGTGGAAGTACGAGAATCTTTTTGTTAGGACGAGTGACGTGGCGGTGTGTTTGGCGGCGCAACCGGTGAATCTTGGGTTTTCTGTCTATGGTAACTTGGCCCACACGAATTTCTTGGTGGGGTATGATCTTGTGAAGCAGACGGTGTCGTTTAAGCCCACTGATTGTGGCAAATATTAATTTAATCTTTAATTTTATTAATATTTAATTAAGTGGAGATCTATGTATTTAATTGAAATAATATAAAATTTCAGTATATTGGAATATTTGTGTGCAATGTTCTTTTTTTTTTTCCATTTCTTTTTCAAGATTCCTATCCATACCATTTTTTCGTGTAATAGTTGTAGTTGAGTTCGAAACGAACCCTATCTGAAGAAAAAAATCCTAAAATCCCTTTTTGATATGTTAGAAAAAGAATAAATAAACTAATATAGTTTGAGATTAAGATTCTGTCAATTCTTTAGCCCACGCTCTTGCTCATGTTCAATGTATTGATACACTAGAAGGACTTACACTTCCGTATGATTTAGCCAATTTGCCTAATAAAACTTTCTCTACTTTCAAAAAAAAAAAAGAAATTGGGATATTCGAGTTCGAAACGAACTCTATCTGAAACAAAAATCCTAAAATCCGTTTTCAATATTTTAGAAAATAGAATAATAAACTAATATGATTGAGATTAAGATTTTGTATATTGGGTTGTTTGAGTTCAAAACAAACTCTATCTGAAGAAAAAAAAAATCCTCAAATCTCTTTTTCGATATTTTAGAAAAATAAATAATAAACTAATATCAATTGAGATTAAGATTCTGTAAATTGGGTTGTTCGATCGTGTAATCGTAATTCTATTAGATTGGCCAAATTTAACCTGATTATTGAAATCGACGCTCGTTTTACTACCAAAATATACTAATTATAATCTTTAACATAATCTTTTATAGTATTATTATAATTCAATCATTAAAAAAGTAAATACTTGTAATAAAATTGTATCAATAGAAGATCTACCAAATTTGATGTTTCACAAATATAAAAGGTTGAACAACTAATTCTGCAAATTACAAAAACAATATACAATCTTAACAAAATCTTCTACAATATTACGAAAATTCTTTAAAAGTAAACACAATTTCAAACATGTTTTAATTTAATTTGCCTCTATAAATAACAATTTAATCTTCTTCTCTAAACCACACTATCCTCTTACAAAAATCATTGCCAAAAAAACCATGGTGTTCAAATCAATTTTCATAGCTCTAATTATTTCCCTAATTATTTCAATTTCTAAATGTAATCCACTATCAACTAAAGGGTTGACCGTTGACCTAATCCACAGAGACTCTCCTCAATCTCCTTACTACAATCCTTCTTTATCTCCTAACCAACGTCTCGCAAATGCGATACGAAGATCGTTCGATCGTGCCCGTCGATTTAAATTGGACCCCATCTCGCCAAAATCACCCGAATCGGATTTAATCCTCTCAAACGGAGAGTACCTAATGGAATACTCTGTCGGCACACCGCCAATCCCTTCGTTAGCCATCGCTGACACGGGCAGTGACATCACGTGGACGCAATGCCAGCCGTGCACCGAATGCTTCAAGCAAAAGTTACCCCTTTTCGACCCGAAAAATTCCTCAACGTACAAAAATATCCCTTGCGATACTAAATACTGCAGTTCTTTCCGACGGACTTCTTGCAGCGACAATAATAAAAATTGTATTTATTCCGCGGCTTACGGTGACGGCTCGTTCACAAACGGCGACCTCGCCACGGATACTATCACATTAGACTCTAGCGACAACGATGGCAAAAGCGTCGTTTCTTTTCCCGATATTATATTTGGATGTGGATTTAAAAACGGTGGGATATTCAACGGGGGCGAATCGGGAATTTTCGGTCTTGGAGGTGGGCCTGCCTCGCTCGTTATGCAATTAGGTCAAGGGAAATTCTCTTATTGCTTGGTGTCAACATCAAATAATGATAATAAATCGAGCTCGAGTAAATTAAATTTCGGGGCTAACGCGGACGTTTCGGGTAGTGGGGTGGCAACCACGCCCTTAGTCAAGAAAGTTCCGGAAACTTTCTACTATTTGACGTTGGAAGGAATTAGCGTCGGGAATCAACGGCTGGAGTTCGGCGATCCGACGGATCGTGAAGACGGGAACATTATCATCGACTCGGGGACGACGTTGACTTTTTTGCCGTTCGAATTCTACTTGAGCTACATGAACGCAATCAAGAGCTATATTAAGTTGAAGCAGATTGAGGACCCACAACATGTGTTGACTTTGTGCTACCACTCGAAAACCGACATAAAGAATATTCCTGATGTGACAGTTCACTTTAGAGGGGCGGATGTGAAGTTGAAGTACGAGAATGTTTTTGTCAGGACGAGTGACGTGGCGGTGTGCTTGGCGGCTAGACCTGTGCCTGGGGCTGGCTATTATATTTATGGTAATTTGGCACAAATGGATTTCCTTGTGGGGTATGATCTTGTGAAGAAAACGGTGTCGTTTAAGGCTGCTGATTGTAGCAAATGATTAATTAATTATGATTTTATTATGGTCCACGTGTCACTACATATTACATATATAATGTCCATGTGTCACTACATATTACCATCCACGTAGGCATCATAATCATGTTCCATGTGTCACTACATATTACATATATAATGTCCATTTAATTATAACTTTCCATAATGAGATATTAGAATATATTAAATATATAAGTATATATTTCCGTAAATATATAATATATAAATGACATTTTTTATGACAATTACATATTTCCTTAATATTATATAGGTTACTATGGTAATCATTAATTTTGTCATCTAATACCAATTAAAATCCGAAATATATATGTAATTATATATTTTAATTTGTAAACATCACACTATTTTAGTAACAATATATTTCTCAATCCATAATATATTCAATTATTATTCTTACATTCTAAAATGAAATAATTTTAATTGTATCAATTTAATGCATATAATTGATTTCCTTAAATATGTATACTATTTACCTTTTATTACATAAAACATAAGTATAAATACCTCACTCCACATCCATTATTTCTCATTCATGTAACAAAGCACACGGCAAGAAAAAAAATTGTATACCCTAATTCCATTTTTTCATTATTTTAGTTAATATTCGATTAGTTTATACCGTAATTTTCGATTGTTTATACCCTATATATATATTTTGTATGGTTTTCCGTTGAATAGTTACCAATTTCCTTTATCTTTCATACTTAATTGTTAATTTTATTTTTTATTAGATGTTCGAATTAGGTCGTTTGCGGAAAGATTTATCTTCCGAAATTTATGAGGAATGCAAGATGTGGTACTACAAGGAGACATGAAAAAGTCTCATATCGAAAAACGCATCAAATTGCCTTCTTCGTTTTTGGGGAACAATGTGTTTGTTTTACATTTTTTTTCATTTTTTTGTATTCCAATTTATGGGAAAATAAAATAACACCGATATTAAATATGTTTGTTTACTTGGTACTTTTATAGATCCACGGATAGCAAGGTATGTGTCATATGCGGCGACGTCGGCTTCAAAGTAGGATTGCGTAGTTGTATACATTGCAAGGATATGATGCACATATATTGTATGGATGGAATGTGGAAAATTTTTAATTCTAATAGTCAATCTGAAGATTATACATGTGATGATTGTAACCACATGATTGGTGAAGTACAAGAGATTGATGTTAATGAATTTGAGCATGTCCCATTTAATCAAGGTTTTGTTATATTTTTTAATTTTATATTTTTCGCGTTTATATTTATCTTTTATACATATTATTTAGCGTTAATCAACTTCTAAGTTTTTGTTTTTATTTTTTTGTGGTTTTGTAGCTACAGACGGATGCAATCCATGCGTCGTATGCGATGAGGTTGGTTTAAAGGAATTTCTCATAAGTTGTGTGGATTACGAGGAGTTCATGCATATTTTTTGTGTATTTAACTTTGATACAAGAGATTGAAACGACTCTACCATATCTTCTTGGCGGTGTTGTGAGTGTATCAAACGAGTTAGACCCCAGTGATGAACTCCTATATATTATACATATAAGTTATATGATGTTATACATATGAACTAAAGATTTATATTCTTATTTATTTTACAATCAGCATATTATTAAATTTAAGTTCTTATTTATTTTACTATGTATTTCATGTAATCAAATTTAAATCATATTAATATTAGTTTTTTTTTATTATCGATATAAACAAGATAGCACAAAATTATTTTTTATCCAATTTAAGAACATAACTATGTTTTTTAATTGCATTAATGACACATAACTTTGTAGAAATTATAATACAACCCCTATATAGTGTTGCTAATTCAAAGAAAAGGCCCACGTAGCAGAACTGTATTTAGTTTTGCTTCATAGGTCTTAATTTGTATTTAGAGAATATTGTAATATTGTAATTTTGTATTTAGCATAACTGTATTTCGATTTTTTTGGTATTTCGTATTTAGAGACACAATAGGTTTTTCTATTTGAGACAATATCCTTAATACCTTTGCATACAACTTATTCAATAAAGTTACTTATGTTTTTTAACGTGGCAAACAAATTTATTCATTTATGCCAAAAATATTATCCGGATCATTAATTGGTATTTTAACATGGAAATAATATCTTATGTCATAACAATTTACCAAAATATTTAAAATCTTTTCCATATTCCATGGTGCCAACTTTAATCATAATCAATTAATATCAATTAAAATATTTATCATATTAATTTAATATGTAAATTATTCAATTTTGATTTTCATAGAATGTGTTTAAATAATAATTGTCATTATTTCCGATTTATAGATTGCCGCCCATTATAGAATTTGATTTTTTTAACTGTATTTTCGGATTAAAAATCCTACAATTTCAAGTCAAATAAAATTGAAAAATTAACCCAAAATAAAATAAATAATCTGGATTTGTGTATTAAGTGGTGTCAATTATTTCTCTAGATAATTTGAATCAAATAAATTTACATTGGTTTTAAATATTTAGTAACCTCTTCAATGCACATTTCCATAATTACTAAACATTTAAATTATTTCCTTATAAAATGAAAATCAATGAATATTTATGTATTAATACCTAATTTGGACGTTTGTAGATAATTGTAAATTATAATAATGAAATGAATGATTGATTTAAAATTAATTAACCTCATTTTTTTCATAATGTTATTTATATCCTATATATTATAAATATCAAAATCAAATCTCCGGAAATTTATTTTCAGAATGAATATCACAGGAATTGATTATTTTGTCAATTAGTCATTATTCACTAAGTGTAATTTAAATTAATTTCCTCAATTATCTTCTAAATATATGCCATTAAATCTCTCTTTCCTTCATAACATTTTTCTTTTACTTTTTTATTCTCCGAAAATTAGTATAAAAACCCTTCATCCTAACACATTCAATCACATTCATACTCTACACCCCACTTTTTGGAATCACACGAAAACACTATAGTCAACACATTTTTTTTTAATATTTGTATTCAATTATGGAGATTTACGTTAATTTTTGTGTAATTATTATTTTAGTTCGTTCGATGCATATTGTTTTTTCTATATTATTTTTTTCTCAAAATGTTCCGTTATAAATACCAATATAATTATTTTATTTTGGTTATAATAGGAGGAACATGTTGATCAAATTTATCAACAAAATTAAAGATTACACATGCAATAGATGAGAGCGAGCGCACGACGCTTGCTATTAAATCTTCTTCTTCTTCTTTTTTTTTTTTTTTTCTTACTCATTTAAGGGGACACTTTACTGATACACTTTGTTCTTATCCATTGCTAGAATTGTTTGTGTTTTAGAATGCAGTGTTAGCATATGTTAATAAGGTAGAATACATTTGTAAATTGATATAAACATTTCAAAAGTATTTAATTTTAATCAAATCGAGTGATTTTTTTGTGTTTTTTAAAATATAGTCATTTTTTTGTGAATTTTTCGAATATTTATTTTTATAAAGTTATGTTATAGATACATATTCAATATAATATGCTTCATGTTAACTACCGTAGTATGTTAGTTGGCAATAATTTTGAAATTTAAAACTGATTATCCCACCCTTAAACATGTAGTCTTTTGGCATTTTTCACCCCAAAAAATATTTATAAGTATTTTTCACCCTCAAACCACAATATATCATCCACACTGCACACTATAATATATTTTTTTTAAAATTTTATGAGGGAATGGTCATCTTTTTAGTGATTTTGTTTTTCGAGATACATTATACAAAATTAGAATATCATTTATTCCAATTGAGTACAACCTAATTTCGAGCGAAAAAGGCAAAAAAAAAAAGGTCTCTTTAAATTATTTCAATTTTTATTTTCTCATGTGAGATATAAAAGAAATTCTCATAAACTTTTATTATCAAATTATTCAATTGGTAGATCTTTCATTGCAATTGGTGAAAATATTTGATGGATTTTTATATATAAAAAAGCATGACTTTTACGAGATTTGGTTAGAAAATGGGTCACGGAAAACAAAGTATAATACCCTCGCTTCTCACCCATTACGTAGCATCCTTAATCCACACAATATTTCTTTACGTCACATGAAAATTCTTGCTGCACATGGTCATGTGTTTTTTTTTCCTTCCGTAATTTATGTAACAATTGAGTGATGTTGTTTGTACAAAAAAAACATTTAGTTTGTTCAATGGATGTTTTTTTTTTTTTTTCGTTCTGCTTATGTTTTATTGTAATATTTCATTATATAATAAGATCTAATGTAACTCATGTTATATAATATCTAAAATTTGAATTACATCCTCAATTGTTTGACATTTGGCAATTTCAATTGGTGACATGTATTCAATATCATCCCATGTGTCAAATTGATTGGTGAAAATAAATCATCAAAAAACATGTCACCATTTTCTAAAATTAAAGATAATTAAATATATTTAATTAATTTATTAATATATTTATATCCTATCATTTATAAAATGCTCTAAATATATCAACTTTCTTGGAAATTCTAAATAGATTTATTTTTAAATTTAATTTAATTTTAATAATAATTAATTTAATTTGAATTTAGTTAAAGGCAATTTCAAATCTTCCCTTATTTATAATTCCCTTGAATTGGTGGGTGTTACAAAAAAAATTTATTTGAATTCATAAACATAGATTTATATTAAAAAAATATTGCATAATAAATAATTTGATAAAATACACTTTACATGAACATGACTATACTACTGTATAATGCAAAAAATGGCACTATTTTTTTTTTTGTCTGCCATGTGAACACTAACGTTTTCTGATATCCTTTTAATATTTTAAATAATTTTAATGTCATTTTGATAATATAATTAAATGTTAATTTCTAATATATTTAATATGTGTTTTTTGATGCTTCGGCTACCACACATAAGGATTTTGATATAAATGTTGCGTGATTTAATAAAATATTTTTGATACAAAATAATAGATCATTGCAAAAAAAAAAATGATGCAAAAACGGAATTATGATTGTGAT